GAGCAGAGCCCTTGGTCCCCTTCTCCTGGACCTCAGGGGGATGTTCTGGCCCAGGGGGGATGTTCTGGCCCACGAGGGCAGGGGGAAGAGCAGCAGTGACTGGGGAGCTCCTCACACCTGGGAGGTTCTCCCAACCTGTGTCCCCTCTGAAAGGAAGGAACAGGGTCCTGGAATGGTTTGGGTTGGAAGGGACCTGGAAAATCAGCTCATCCCACCCCCTGCCACGGGCAGGGACACCTCCCACCAGCCCAGGATGCTCCAGCCTGGCCTTGGACACTCCCAGGGATGGGGCAGCCACAGCTTCTCTGAGCAACCTGTGCCAGGGCCTCCCACCCTCCTTCCAGGCAGGAATTTCTCCCTAATATCCAATTTAAATCTGTCAGTCTGAACCCACCCCCTTGTCCTGTCACCCCAGTTCCTGAGGAACATCCCTCTCCAGCTTCCCTGCAGCCCCTGCAGCCCCTGGAAGGGGCTCTGAGGTCTCCACACAACCTTCTCCTCTCCGTGTTGAACATTCCCAGCTCTCCCAGCCTGTTCCCGAGCCAGGCTGTGCCCCTTGGAGGAGCTTTCCCATCTCCAGGGCTCTGTGGCTTTCCCAGAGGACCCCGAGCCCGGGGGATCCGTAGGGAAGCCGTGCTGGGTGCTGGGGGAGCTGCAGGATCTCCTCTCCCTCCCAGGGACCTCGTCTGGGAGGTGCCCGTGGTGGAGTCTGTGGTTCTGCCCCCGGCTCTGACTCAGCCCTGCCTCGGTTTTCCCTGTGCTTAATTAGGAATAATAACCCCCCCAATGCCCCGTGTGGCTCCAGGAGTCTCCCCGAGATGAAAGGCCCTCAGAGATGCTAATTAGGGTCGTCTGGATGACAGGGACCGATGGGATCATCACTGGGGCTCTGCTCCTGCTCTGCAAACACCAAACTGGGGGTTGGGATTACCTGGACACGACTTAATCCAGAGCTTCCCCAGGAACTGGGCTGCTGGAGCTCATAAAAACTGCCTTAATCTGCTCCCCGACGCCAGCTGGGCCCCTAAAATCTGAGGTGGGATCATTTACCATTAAAAAGGGCCTTGTGGCTCAGGGGAGGGAAGCACAATAAAAGCTGGAGGGATCCAGGCTGGAGTCAGGCTTTGTCTCCAGTGTCCCTCCCTTCAGCCCTTGGAATGTTGGGATTAACCTGGAGAACAAGCCCTTTGTCCCTGTTGTTTCCCGTGGTGGTGAGGGAAGTTGGAAAGTCAGAAGTGCAAATGAAAAAATGCAGATGGCAAAGGTGCCTTCAGGCTTTTGGATTTTCTGGGGAAAAAAAAAAAAAAAAATAGGAAATTTAGCTCGTGGTTCATGAAGCAGAGTTCCATATCCCGCTCCAAATCATGGAATTCTTGAAGTGAAAGGCCTTTCAGGTCGTGGAGTCCAGCTGGAAATGTAGCACAGCCAATTCCACCAATAAACCACATCCCTGGGAGATCATTTCACAGCCTCCAGGGAAGGCAAACCAGCAGCATCCTGGGGCTGCCTATTGATGAGGGATTTTCCATTGCTCCATTGAAAATTCACTTATTTCCCCTCGGGGCAGGGGCAGGGTGGATATTGGGAAAAGGTTCTTCCCCCAGGGGGTGTTGGGCACTGACCAGGCTCCCCAGGGCACAGCCCAGAACCTGCCAGAGCTCCAGGAGGGTTCAGACAACTCTCAGGTGGGATTTTGGGATGTCCAGGAATTGGGATCAATGATCCCTGTGGGTCCCTTCCAGCTCAGGAGGTAATTCTACCATTATTTCCTCTCTTTTTATTTCAACTGTGGGATGTCACCCGAATTCCACACCCAATTTAGAGCTGTGGGATTCATATTAAAGGGAAACAAGAATTCCAGAGCCTTCCCCAAAGTATTTATGACTCTTCCCAAGCACATTCCCAGTCGGCAACTCCCGCTCCCGCCACTGCCAATTTTCCCATTCGTGGCACAAACAGGGAACAAAGGCAGGGATGACTGGAGCAGGGAATGTGCAGCAGAGCAGGAAATGGGGTTTTTTTGTTGTCAGGGCACTGGTTTGAGGAGCTGCTTCTCCCCCAGAGCTCGGCCCTTCCCCTCCTCGTTGGGCCGGAAAAGCGTCACCTCTCCGGGCAGGTCCTTCCCTCCTCATTCCCTTTGTGACGGGGCATTTTTGGGAGCTGTCCTGCCCTCAGCCCAAGGCCCTCTCAGCCCTAATGACCCCTCTGTTCCCTGGGTGCCCGTGGAAGTGAAGGAAGTGCCCTGGTAATTACGGGCTGCGGGGGCAGAGTCCTTCCTGGACGGGCTTTTCAAAGGCTCCCAAGGGGGTTCTGCCCGAAGCTCCCGTGGAAATGAGGAGTTCCTGGAGCTGCTCCTTGTTTTGGGTGGGAAGGGATGTTCCAGCTGGAATTGCCCCGGGCAGGCAGCGATGCTTTGGTCCCATCCATGGGGACCATGAGCAGCCCCTGTGTGGGGTGTCCTTGCAGGGGTTTTTTGGTGCAGCCCCTCAGCTCAGGAGCTCGGGGGGATCCATCCCGGTGTCCCCACAGCCCCACGGAGCCAGGCCAGTCCCAGAGCTGCACGTGGCTCAGCCGGGACTGGGAGGCAATTAGAGCCTCACCAACCCAACCACCTCAGTCCCCTGGGGCACTCGGTCACCCTATAAAGGCTCGGCCGGGCCGGGGCTCTCCCAGGCACTTCCCTCCCGTCCTTCCCTCCCATGACCTGGGTAAGTTTGGCTTCCAGTGCAGCTCCTGAGACTCTTCGGTTCCTGGGTGGCTGGAGAAGGTGGAGGTGGCCCTGCCCGTGCTCCTGGAGAAGCATCTCCGGGGGATGCTCTGCCTTTGGGGAGGCTCTGCCGGCTGGAGCAGCTCCTGGCTGGGCTGAGGAATGTTGGGACAGAGCTTCCAGGAGGATTCGTGAAGTCAGGAGTGGGATTTGTGGGCTTTTCTGGGCTTTCTGTTAAGCTCTGACCCAGAGGAGGGTGTTGGCTCCACGAAGTCAGGACTCAGGTGTGAGATGGGAGGTGAAAAGGAGGTGGCCCAGAGGAATTTCCTGCTGTTTTGTGGAGCAATTATTTTCTGAAAATAGCAAGAAGCTGATTGAGTTCAGTGCTGAGGGGAAATTCAGCTCTTTGGATAAATTTGAACGTGCTAAAATTTCTAGATACGATAAAAAGAAGTCTGAGATGCAAACACCTCCCCTACTTTATGAGCTTTTTATCTCGGTGAGCATCAGCAGCTCCTTGAGCACCGTGTGTGTAATTGCTGCCATTGTTTTCCAAGGGTGGTTTTTATTAGACAATGATTGCTTTAATTGTAGTGATACGATTTTCCTGATGATCCCAACAGGCAGCATTGTCACGGCTGAGAGTCACCCAGTGACAGGATTTGGGGAGACAGAACCCCTTCTGTAATTACAGATAGAACCAGGGATTGTCAGGAAATGCAGCTTCTTTACAGTGATTTAATTGTGTCTCTTAATCTACAAAAAATGTTGAAATGATAAAACCATTTTTTTGATCAGACCACCTTTCACTCTCGGTGGTTCCTGTACCTGTTGGGCTCAAAACAATCCAATTTAAACCCCAGAAAACTCCCTGAAACTGTGTTTTCCAGGGTGGGGAAGGAAGTGGGCTGGTTTCTCCTACAGCTCCCAGGGCTGAGGCAGAGTGAGATGTGTCACAGGAGCAGAGTGGGGGGCTCCAGCTCCAGCTGGAGCCTCCTGGTTCTTCCCCCAGGGATGTGGCCTCAGCTGGACTCCAGCAGGGCCTTCCAGGAGGAGGTTTGGGTGCCAGAGCTGCCCCAGGGGGGTTTGAGCAGCAGGTTTTGGGTTCCCAGGACAAAACCAGGGCACTCTGGCTGGGGGTGACTGTGGGGCAGGGCTGGGGCTGCCTTAAGGGGTGTGATTCCCTCAGCTCAGCCCAGCTGGAGACCTTCCAAACCCACCTGGCTCCTGTGCCACCCTGCCCTGGGTGACCCTGCCCTGGCAGGGGTTTGATGACCTCCAGAGGTCCCTCCCAACCCCAGCTCTCCCCTGGCTCTCTGATGGTCGATCAGCACCAGCTGAGATTTTGCCTTGGTGGCTTCTCCTTCCCTCCTTTGGTTCCACCAAACACTTCAAAAAAATCCTATTTCCCTTCCCTTCCCTTCCCTTCCTTTTTCCTTTCCTTTCCATTTTCCTTTCCATTTTCCTTTCCTTTCCTGGCACACAACAAAACAAAGCTGGGACTGCATGACTTGCTCAGAGCTGGCACTGCCAGGCCCCGGATCCCTTTGGAATCGTGGGGCAGCAGGAGGGAGGGCAGGTCCTGGGCAGCAGGAGGGAGGGCAGGTCCTACGTGCCGAGCTCCCCGTGGCCACAAACCTGTCCTTGCCCTCAGCCCAGTAATGGAACCTGAGCTGGGCTTTGGCCGTGGCCACACCCGGGTATTACCCGTGGCCACACCTTTAATTTTGCCTTGCCTTTCATCCTTTCATCTCGGGAGCTGCAGGACCTGAACTGGAAAGGGTGTCCCAGTGAGGTTTCCAGGCAGTAAAACCCTGGGTCGTGCCCCACGTCCTGGTGAAGGGCTGGCACTGCAGCACCAACCTCCCCAGGCGGCCTGGCTGCCACCCCTGACTGCTCCTGGGCTCTTCAGAGCAGGCTGTGGGGTCACGAGCTGAGAGCAGAACCTCCTGTCCTGGATAATCCCATCCTGCTCCTGAGTTCCCAACCTCCGGAGTGTGGGGTCAGGATCCGGGAACAGAATCTCCTGTCCTGGATAATCCCATCCTGCTCCCGAGCCCCCGACCTTCAGGGTGTGGGGTCAGGAGCCGGGAACAGAACCTCCTGTCCTGGCTGATCCCATCCTGCTCCTGAGCCCCCGGGAGTCCCCGACCTCCGGGGTGTGGGTTCTGCCCCGGGAGGTGCCCCGGGGGGTGAATCTCCGACCCCGCACCCCCAAAACCCCCTCGGTGCCTCCTCCACGAGCCGCGGGTGTTTGTGCCGTGTCTTGCAGGTCTGAGGTGCCTCCAGCACGATGCACTGCTACGGGGAGAGGTACAAACCCCTGTACCTGCCGGGGCCAGGCTACGGCACCGAGACCGTCCAGCCGTGCCCGGCGCGGGCCGACGGCTGCGGTGGCTCCTGCCACCCCCTGAGCATCATCAAGGGCCCGGCGCCCCGCTGGCAGAGCTACCCCCAGCCCCTCACCTACGTGTGCCCCCAGCCCGCCGTGAGCCAGCCCTCGCTGCTGTCGTGCCAGCCCTACGTGCAGAAGTGCCTGCTGCTGTACTCCGAGCCCTGCGAGACCACCCGGCTGCTGCCCAGCGTCAGGTTCAGCCCCGGGCAGAGCTGCCAGCCCTGCGAGACCGCCCGGCCCGACAAGAAACGGGTGGCCAAGAGCCTCCCCCCGTGTGCCCCGCGGTGCCCGGAGCCGGGCACGCTGCGGTTCCCCCCGTGCGGGATCAGGTACTCGGCGTCGTGCCGGGCCGGGGGAAGGTCCCCCCGCCTGGCCAAGAGCTCCTCGCGCTGGTTCGGCCCCGACCTGCGGCCCCCCGGGCTCCCCGGCGGCTACTCCCTGCCCCTGGGGGGGGTCACCGAGTGCCCCCCGCAGCCCTGCATCGCCCACTCCCGCCCGCAGGAGTACGCGGGGGGGTTCCCCCAGCACAAGTGCACCAAGGGCTACCCCACCCAGGAGTGCGCGCCCACCCCCTCGGCCGAGCAGCGCCTGGCCAAGAGCCCCCCCGAGCCGCGGGCCACCAAGTGTCCCCCCGGGAAGGGGGTCAAGGAGTGTCCGGCGCAGAAAACGGCCGCCAAAAGCTCGGGGCCACAAGAGGGAGTGAAGGCCAAGGGCTCCTCCGCGCAGCACCTGAGCAAGAGCCGGTGCCTGTACCCGCGGGCCCCCCATCGCCCCGGGCACCACCACCCCGCGGGGGCAAAGCGCCCCAGCCACCCCAAAAAGAGCCGCTGCGCTTCCAAGTGGATCTGGTGAAGGCAGAGGCTGTGGAACCACTTGGGAAGCGGCTGTGAAACCCTCTGAACCCAGCGAGACGTGTAGCTGAGGGCTGAGGTTCCATCCCTGCCTCCCCCCGTTCCCCAGCCCCGGAGGAGCCTTGGCCCCGTTTCCCCCCTTGTCGTACCCGTGTCAAGCTCGTTCGGTGCCTTCCCTTCCTTTTCGGACCACAATTCGGTTGTCCCTGCCCCGGAGAAGGTGTTGGGGAGAAGTTTGGCAGCTCTGGGCGGGTGCTCAGGCTTTGAGCCTCAAACCAACACAGCTCTGGGGCAGCGTCTGCACCCTGAGAGGTTTTTCCTGTCACTGGATCCATCGATTTGCACGTTGTACCATCAGCACATTAAACTCAGGTTGCAGCTGGAGTCCTGCTCTCTGCCTGCTTTATTTTCCACCTTTGAAAACTCTTTCTAGCCCCTATTCCTGGAAACAACCTGTTCCCTGTTGTTCTACTGCTCCTACTGGATTTACCACCACAGATTTATTACCTGTGGGAGCAGCTCCTGCAGCAGTGCAGGGAGATGTTTGGGAGGTCTGGATAAAGCAAGGAGCTCATTACCAGCCCCCAGACAGGAGTGTGACATCTCTCCAGGCTTAGCTCAGTCCCATCCCATCCCCTCTGCTTCCTCTGTAGTGCCCCAAACAGACCAAGAAGGATTTCCAGAGACTTTTTTTCTAATAAAGTGAAAGATTTGCCTCTAAAAACAGAGACTGGTGCAGCCAGAAGACTCCAGGGTTAGGAAGAGTCTTGCTCCCCATAGAAAGAGTATTCACTTTAACTTTGGTAACTGGGCTCAAGGTGAAAGAAGAGAAATTCAGGTCAAATATGTAGAAGGAATTGTTCCCTGTGAGGTGGTGAGGCCCTGGCACAGGTTGCCCAGAGAAGCTGTGGCTGCCCCTGGGTCCCTGGAAGTGTCCAAGGGCAGGTTGGAGGAACCCGGGATAGTGGGAGGTGTCCCTGAATGGAACAAAATGGTCTCTGAGGTCCCTTCCAACCCAAACCATTCCGGGCTTCTCTTCTCCGGGCTGATCAGTCCCAGTTGCCCCAGCCGGGAGCAGAGAAGCCCCGAGGCTGAGCAGGAACGGGTTTGTCTGGAACACTCCGGGCTCCCCTCGCTGGGTTTCGCTCCTGATGGTTGAACCGACGGGAGGGCACCAAACCGGGCCCCTCAAAGCAGCCACCAAACGGTGCCCCCCGAGAATCCCGGGGGCTCTGCACGGGGGCGGTTCTCCCTTCTCCCCGTTTCCCCCTCCCCGGGCGGTTTCCAGGCGGGATTTTCCCCCGGGAATGTCCCGGTGCCCGAAATCTCCTCGGGGCGGTGTCGCCGCCTCGTGGCCACGGGCGGGAACTGCAGGAGCGGAGATTCCAGCCGGGAATTCAGCCGGGATTCCACTCGGGAATCCAGCCGGGAATCCACCCAGGAATCCGCCTCCATCCCCACCCGCAGCTTCCAGAGGGGGTTTTGCGCTGCTGGAAGTTAAAGGGCAGCTTTGGTGCCTTTTCTTCCTGCAGGGGGTGAACTGCTGATTTCTCCTGTCGTTTCTAAGGAAGAGGCTCCAACGAGGAATTGGTTCAGGAGCCTCCAGGAGATCCCTGAGCCACACAGAATTGTCAAGGGAGGTGAAATACAGTTGTCATCCCAGCTGCCATCGATCTGCAGTGATGGGGTCTGAAGTGGGGGGCAACCCCTGCTGAGAACTGGGAATTTGGGGCTTTTTGGAGGACTGTGAGAACTCGGCCTTGCTTTTTGTGACACCCCAACCACGAGGCTCCCACACAACGAGGAATGTCAAAACATGCCCAAAATATTCATGAGCAGTTTATGAAGGCAAAAGTGTTTTATGGCTGTAATATAAATAGCACATTATCCAAGAGAAACCCCTCGGGGGCTGGAGCAGCTTTGGAATATGCACTTTTTTCTGGAAGTGCCTTGGCTGTTTCCATAAACAGGATGTTGTTTTCCAGCCCAGGCAGCTCGAGGTGTTTTCCTCTTCATTAAACATCACATTTCTTTCTGCATTCGAAGCAATCACCCCAAAATGGGCTCAAAAGTGAGAGTCAAACAAGTTGTGACACTTCCAACCTGAACCCTTCTGTGATTCTGGGACTCTCAGCCCTGAGAATCCACCTGAATCCTTGGGAAATCCACGAAGCTCCACAAAATTCAGCCCCTGCTGCACATCAGCAGCCACCTGGTTAAAAACTTTCCCCCTTCAAGTCTCCCTTAGTGAACTTTCAGCCCTTTGGTGTCTCCTGTTTGAGCCCAGGACAGGGTTGGAGGGAGCTCAGAGCAACCTGCTCTGGTTGGAGTGTCCCTGCCCACGGCAGGGGGTTGGAATTGGATGGTTTTGAAGGTCCCTTCCAACCCAAACCACTCTGGGGTTCATTGCACGATGCCAAGCTCACACAGAAGAGATAAAAATCAACATCTGCAACTAATTCTGGCTGTAAAAACATAATCCAGAGGGAAGCCCAGAGCAGGTAACAGGATTTCCCACAGAAAACTGAATAATGCAGGTAAACAACGTTCAAATAATTACAGTCATTAGAAGCATTACACATGTGGGAAGATTTGTTTGGAAAGCAATTAAGACCTCGTGTATAAAGCTTGGCTCATCTTCCTGGAAGTCCAGGAAAGCCTATAAAGCTCAAAGGGTCCAGGGCTCCTCTGGCCACTTCCCTGCATTCCTTCCTGGACAGCTGGTAAGTCCCTTTCACCTCACACCTTATAATTAATTATATTGGGGAAAAACACTTTGCCGAGAGCAGTTCTGTGCTTTCAAAAGCTGCTGCTGAGCTTTATCCTTCAGTTGTGCGTTTGGACCACGAGCAGCCCTAAAAATATACCAGTTACCCCCCTTTTTGGGGAGAAGGGTTGCACCTTCTCCCCGTGGCAGCTCCTCCTCCCTGCCAGGAGGAGTCCCCGTGGCTCTGAGCGCTCTGGGCTGGGGGACAGGGTGGGGATGGGGCCACAGGGTGGGCTCCATGGGCTGGGAGGGCTTTCCCAAGCTCAGAGATTCTGGGATTCTGTGCCATGGGATGCTGGACAGGAGCCAAATGAAATCCCTGCTGCCAAGCAGCGCTGGTGCCCCAGAGCAGGAAAACCCCTGCAGGAGGCTCTGGGGCAAACCAAGGGCTGTGGGAAACCCAGAGGGATCCTATTTCAAAGCAAATTGTTTATGAAATAGATTTGTTTGGGTTTTTTTTTCCCCTGGTAGAAAAGTGCCTCCACCTTGGGTAGCTCCTGGTGGTGGAACAGGAAGAGGGGCAGGGCGTGGGTTGGGAATGTTGGGAATCCTGTGTGGAACCTCCACGTGCTCTCCGTCCTCTCCGCAGCCTCTCCGCCGCTTCTCCCAGATGTCCCTCGGAGGGGAAGGTGCCCCGGGGCAGAGTTTCCACTCCTGCAGGGTGCAGTGCCCCCAGCCCTTGGCCAGCAGCAGCAACGAGCCCTGTGTGGTGTCCTGTCCCACCTCCAGGGTCATCATCTACCCCCCGCCCGTCGTGGTCACCTTCCCGGGGCCCATCGTCACAACGTGCCCGCAGGAGGCCGTGGTGGGGAGCTCTGCAGCCCTGCAGGGAGGAGGATCAGCCCCAGAGACATCCCTGAGAGCAGAGATCCTGCAGCCAGAGCCTCGGGCAGGGAGATCCACCCCAAAACACAGCCCTGGGAGGTCCCTCCCGGAGCTGAGCCCTCGCCGAGCCCGGCGCTGCTCCTACGTGTTCTCATCCCGCTGGATCCATCCCTGCAGCAGAGCCAGCTCCAGGGATTCCCAGATCCAGCCCTGCAG